ATTTACTCAGCTAATTCTGAGTTGAAAATTTAATTGTGCGATGTTCGATATATGTAACAAATATTCAACCTGTTTAGGTACATTGAAACGCATATAATTCGAAAAAAATAATATTGCTTCCTCTTACATATATATATATATATATATATATATATATATATATATATATATATATATATATTTCTGAGATGAGGTATTATGTACAGTATTTACATTAGTCGGACTATTGTCCTCATCTTTGTCGCCATATTTGTCACAACGTTTCGGCCGTTGTACGCTCCGGCCTTCTTCAGGTGGTTGGAATTTCGAACTGAACCCTTTATTTCGATCACTGGGGTAGACTGTTCTAGTTCCACGTGCCATGTTTGATGGATGGCAGTTATCAGTTGTCTCCTGCTAATTTTCCCTCTGAATGTTCTCCTGCCTTAACCGGGTATTGAACTCACACTCTTTGGGTCTATCACTGGATCTAACCAACGCCTTCATCCACTGTGCCAGGGATCGAAATAAAGGGTTCAGTTCGAAATTCCAACTACCTGAAGAAGACCGGAGTGTACAAAGGCCGAAACTTTGTGACAAATATGGCGACAAAGATGAGGACAATAGTCCGACTAATGTAAATATATATATATATATATATATATATATATATATATATATATATATATATGTATATATAGTTATATATTTGAGCAGCAATCCTTCGTTTATGCACGTTTCATTAAAAAACGACAGACAAGGTACTACCGTTGAGCTTTTTATTTAATTTTTCTTGTGTTCTAATAAGAGCTTTCTTTTCTGGACAGAGAGTGTGTAAAAACTGTCCAAATGTTTTATATTTCCGAGCGCTTTCGGCTATACCTTTAGCCATTATCAAGGATGATTTGATTTTTTCAGCTTAATTGAGTGTGTGCATTATGTGTATGTCTTGGTGTGTAGTAGGGATGTTTTAATTTCCGAATACGGTTAGCACACTGTGGCTTTGTTCGTAGTTAATGTTTTTAAGAGTTTATATATATATATATATATATATATATATATATATATATATATATACCGTCCTATTAATCTTTTACCTATTTTGCCAAGGTTCTAGAGGTACTACACAAGATTTCAGATTATCACTTCACAAGATCTTCTTTAAGATAACTCATAATAAGTTCGTTTTTCTAAGTCAGTCACCTGTTTATTAAAGAGCCTTAGTATTACAGTATCGGTTTATTAGGTATTAGATAAGAACGTTGAGGCTCGGGCTGTGGCTTTAGCTATACTGAAAACATTTGACGGGCATTGGTATGCTGAACTTATCCAAAGCTCAAGGCCTATGGTGTCTCTGGTCGGATAATTGACTTCATCCAATGGTTCTTAAGAAATCGGGCAATGAAGGCCAGGATGAAGAGCCACGCTTCTCGATCGTTTTAAATTAATATGAGGTTCCCCAAATCCTCTATCCTTCAACATACGTTGTTTCTTATCTTAGTCAATGACATTTGCGATGTCATATATCCCAACTTGTTATTTGTTCTGATGACACATTAATGTACTCGTGTCTTACTCTAATCAGATTTTATTTGCATTAATTATATATAATATATATATATATATATATATATATATATATAATATATATATATATATGCACACACACACACACACACACACACACACACACACACACACACACACACACACATATATATATATATATATATATATATATATATATATATATATATTATACCACGACTCGGAGTTTCATGAAAAAGGATATCTCGAGGCGGTGAATGTAGACTGAACGATACCTTATTTTAAAAAAATAATAAAAATACCTGGTTAACAATGTTTGCACTGGCGATATAATACGGGGATTACAGTTCCTATATGCAAAAAATATTAATTTTTAAAATTCTGAATATTAATTCTGTATTAAGCATAAAGGAAGATTACTTGGTTTATTTCATAGATTTTAATAAGTTTTAGTTAAGACATAAGAAATCGAACGGTTATAACTTACATAGAAAATTAATCGGGATCAACGTATTTCAACAGATATTGATATTTATGCCTACATATAACCATCAATTCATTTCTCTTGTTTAACAGGCTAGAGTTATTTAAGTGTTTTATAATACCCAATTTTTCAACAAGATATAAGTTACATTTACTTCCATATTTTTTAGTAAGGCATTAATTGTATCTATCGCCTTTCCCATTAAAAGATGTGGATTTTGTTACACTATTTCAGGTATCTTACATTGCATAAAATAATTCGATATTGATAGAAACGTAATTTCCAAGTATTTCACTGGTAGCAAAATAAAATTTAACATCGTTACCGGAAATTATGATATCACGTTATATAATATTATTAGTCACACATTGGCTATTTAAGGGATAGATTGTATTTTTACGGCAGTTACATTTATTTTTTTTTAAATAACGTTGAGTATATTGGAAATATATTTATTTAATATAATGTTGTTTTATCGATGTTATTAACGCAGAAAATAAATAGAAAATTAACAGTCCCACCTCCACCCTCTGATCTTAATTTCTATTTAGCGAAGATCTGACATTTGATTCGTTGAGCAAGACAAACCCACATTTTTTTTAATTGACACTTTCTTTTCTTACCAACTTCTTTATCTTTCGGAAAAAGGTAACACTTTGCTTTTGAAATTTTATTTAATGACTAGTCACTCACCATTCACCTGAAGCGGTACAACGTATTGCTAAAACACGAAAATTATGGTGTATTGATTTTGAACATGATTTTGTTCTAATATCTAAAAATATATATGTATATATGGAAAATTTTATAGTTGTTCGAAAGAGAGAGTATATTTTAAAAAGACGATAAACCGAAAACGTTTTTTTGTTTTTTTTAAAATAAGTATTATATTCTTTTTTCCCTAATTCTGCTACACGTTTTTCTGGTTTCGCGACCTACTTTAAGCAAAGACTAAATATTTCCACATAATATAAAAATGAAATTTTTGCGTGGCAGTGTTTCAAATATCTTTCCTGGAGTGGTGATAAAAGTTTATATATATTGCATAGAGTTCTCTTGTTAATATTTCGTCCTTTCGTGTAGTACGACGTCATTATGAATTTACGATTTGAGTCTGACCGTTATGATGGCATAGAAATCTTCTATGTCGGCATAACAGAATCGACTCCCGTATTTGGTCTTTATGTGTGTATGATTTGTGTTTTGTGTGTGGAGTTATGATCTATTTTGTGTTAGTTTAAATTTGTTTATGAAGTTTTCTTTCTTGTATTTGTAGGTAAGAATAATTGTCTGTTTGGTATATTGACATTATTTTAAATTTACCTTGATTACAGTTGTAGATGTGTTGTGATACTAAGTGATGTCGGGTAATTTGATGTTACTTTCGTGAAGGGAAACTCTGTGGTTTAGTGCTTGACTGATACCTATATATGACTTTTTGCATTTTGTGCATTTGAGGGCATAAATTACATTTTTTGAGTTGCAGTTTAAATAGCAAAAGCATGGGAGTTTCCTTCTATAATGATATCGGAAAAGCCCACAAGTTTTTTGGTTGCATTTTGTGACGCCCTGTATTGTGTCATGGCTACATTTGGATGATGTTAACATGTTTTTTAGGTTTTTAGATTGATTATTTGTTATTAATTATTTTTGTTGTTTTTAGTATATTTTTTAGTTTGTCATTCGAACCCAGTTCTCTTATTTCTCAAGCCGAGCCGCTATCCATTACTCCGTGTCTCGCATTTGTAATGAGTATAATTAAAAATGGTTATCCGTTAAAATTATATTCTTGGATGAACTTGATTCTTCTGATGTTCTGAAATAGAGTGTGGATTCGGTTAATATCTTCCAATGTACACCCCCCATATATATATATATATATATATATATATATGAAGAAATATATTCTTAAGGTGTGATATATTTATTGGATAAAGTGATCAATAACAGAGATAGAGCGTGTGTAAATATAAAAGTGAGCACTGAAGTCAACACTTAGAAGCGACAGGCTGTTTCATGCTAGACACAATTGTCAGGCAGACACGTGGCCTGACGATTGCGTCTAGCATGAAACAGCCTGTCGCCTCTAAGTGTTGACTTTAATGTTCACTTTTTATATATATATATATATATATATATATATATATATATATATATATAATTAAATTTATTTAGTGAAAAACAGACAACTTTAAGGTACCATTACAATAATTTATTTCACCAAAATCCTTTTTAAAGGACTCCGGATCATCAGGTAACAATTCCAACAACGAAAAAAAAAAATTAATATATATATATATATATATATATATATATATATATATATATATATGATGAAAATATACATTTAAGTTATGCTATATTTATGAGCAAAATTTTTCAATATCCGGGATAGAGCGTGTGTAAATATAAAAATGGTCCCATGTCTTGTGTCTAATCAACTTATATATGCAGATAAATTGTGCGTTATGTGTAGCAATGTGTATTGTATTATCCTAACGGCTATTGGGTAACAGTTATGTTTCAAAATATTCCAGAGACTATTGAGTATTAATACTTATGAATTACACAGTTTTTGTTAACTTTTTACCCATTATTTATTATTGGTTACTGCTATGTCGGAAGACAATCGAGCTTCTCTACACTAATTGTTGGATATATGCTCGTCCATTTGTTATGAGTAGAACGTCTTCTGATAGAATCAGTGGTCACAAGGCGTAGCGTTGGGTGGTACGCATTGCAGCATTAAATAAGGTATTCGCTAATATTGTATTATTAATCCACGTCCCTTGACCAGAAACTACATACAACGGTTACTTATGTAAAGGTGGGAAATATTTTTTTACAATCGTTTCTGGATCGACACCGTGTTATGTATTCAAATACATATTCAAAAATTATTCCACTGGTTATTAATGGGAGATTTTCGAGATTTTTCTGACAGTGCTTGTTTAGCGATAATGGGGTGCATAACGAAATCAAAGAAGTATTAGAAAGGCCTTCCAGTGAAAGCTATGGAAATGAAACGAAGAAACAAAAGGGGGAAGTAAATGTAAGAAAGAAAGAAGCAAAGGGAAAAAAGTGAGGCACTTACGTTCAGATTTCTGAAAGAAAGAAAGAAAGAAAGAAAGAAAGAACACGGAAATTTAAGTGAGAAAGAAAGAAAGAAAGAAAGAAAGAAAGAACACTGAAATTTAAGTTGGCAGAGGAAGAAAGAAAGAACACCGAAAGAGGAAAAAGAAAGAAAGAAAGAAAGAAAGAAAGAAAAAAAAAGAAAGAAAGAAAGAACACCAAAATTTAAGTGGCGCAGGAAGAAAGAAAGAACACAGAAAGAAAGAAAGAAAGAAAGAAAGAAAGAAAGAAAGAAAGAACACCAAAATTTAAGGGTAGCATTGAAAAAAAAGGGGAAATTAATACTTGAAATTCAATGAATGAAGGAATTGAAAAGAAATTGAACGTTATGTTCTCAAGTAATATCGAGAAAGAGAGAAAAAATGAAAGTGTTACGGTATAAATAACAACAATTGATATGAAAAAAAAAGACAAACGAACGAAATTGTTTTTTTTATTTCGAATGAAAGATGTCAGTTTTTTCCAGATGCGAAGGAGTTGATCTGAAACGATAATGAAACGGAAAAAGGAATCCTAATTCCGGTGAATAATCATTTGATCTGAACTAAAGAGAGATGATGAATAAAGTAAAGAATAAAAGAGAACCTGGAATAGGAGGAAGACAATCAACTCCACAATGATTAAAAGCTAGATCTTTGTCAGCAATCTCTTGGCGTTTCGAGAAGAAACCGTGATGTCACTGCAAATAATGAGGGCAATGAAAGTGAGGGGAAAATCTTCATATTTCAATAAAGAAGAAAAAAGTGTGACTATACGAACGCAGGCAAACACATTAATCTCAAAAGGCTATTCCTGAGGAGAAAATGACAAGATGAAAAGGAAAACCACTTTAGATTTTCTTTGTCAGTCAACCTTACAGCAGAAAGTTACAAATATTCTCTAAATGAAGAAAATTAGTTTCTTCGGACTATAGAGATTTCGGTTAATCGAGATAAACATGCGAAAATATGAAAAAAACAAAAACCAAAGATTAATTCGCAGTTATGAATAAATATTTAATTAAAATAAAAAAAAATATCAATATTTTTTCTTCTATGTGACAGGTCGTGGGCGATAATAACTCTCCACAACTTCTTTTCATTAGTCGTCCTAGATTTTTTAACGGTGAAAAAGTGAAAGATCTTTCGATTTCCAGAAATACAAGACGGTTCACTTCTTCTTCTTCTTCTTGTTACGCAAGGGGTTGCAGAGAGTGAGAGCGAGAGTAAAGAGGGCGTGACAGAGGAAAGGATGAAGAGAAAGAGAGAATAGATCAAGGAGCTGGATATGTCGATTGGCACTGCATTTGAATATTTGAAGATTATAGCTATCAGGAAAACAAGTAATAGGAAGGGAGTTCCAAAGATGGGAAGTTCGAGACATGAAGCTATTGCAGAAGAGACGGCTACATTTAACCGTTGGCCCAAGATGACAGCCTACTAGCATGTTTAACTTCATGAAGTATTTCTAGACATTGAAACAATTCAAAGATATTTCTATTTCCAGAAATTAATGTTGGTGCTTATCTTTTTTTGTGTGCGACATCCTTCAAGAGATTGGCGATCCTGGCTCTCTACAACTTTTTGCATTTATAGCTCTTAGTAAATGTAGAATTTTTTGAATCTCTCCGAATCCATGAATTGTCAATCATTTACAAAAGTTCGTTAGCCCTAGGCATTGTAACTATCGGTGAAATACTCGAAGATATTTCTATTCCCAGAAATTAACGTTGGTACTATTCTTCTTCAGTGTACCATGTCCCTTCAGGACGTCGGCGACCATGGCTATCCACAAATACTTTGCTTTTTAGTTCTTATTAAATGTAGTATTTTCTGTATCAGAACGAATCACTGAATTGCCAAGAATTCATACAAGCTCGCAGAGGTACTTGTATTTCCAGAAATTAATGTTGGGGATCTTATTTGTTTGTGTACACTGTCTCTTCAAGACGTTGTCGATCATGCATCTATACAACTTCTTTGCCTTTGTAGGTCTTAGTAAATTGAGTAATTTCTGTATCACCTCGAGTCCCCGAACTGCGTAGCATTTACCCAAGCTCGTTAGTAGTAGACATTTTCATTATATGTGAAACAAGTCAAATATATTTGTTTTTCAAAAAATTAATTTTGGGGCTCTTCTTCGTTTGTGTACCATGTATGTCCCTTCAGGACGTTGGCGATCATGGCTTTCCACAACTTCTTTGCAGGTCGTAGTAAATGTAATATTTTCTATATCTCTCCGAATCCCCGACCTGGCAAGAATTTGCACTAGCTCGTTAGCCGTAGACATTTTAACTAAAAAATGTCAAAGATATTTCTATTCCCAGAAATTAATATTGGTCCTCTTGTTCGTTTGTGGGCCATGTTCCCTCAGGACGTTGGCGATCATAGCTCTCCATGAATTCTTTTCCTTTGTAGCTCTAACGAAATGTAATATTTTCTGTATCACTTTGAATCCCAGAACTGCCAAGCATTTACACAAGCTCGTTAGCTCTAGGTATTGTTGTTTTTATATATATATATATATATATATATATATATATATATATATATATATATATATAACTAGTGAGCGAATCAAAATGACTTAACTCCCTTTATAGTCCACCAATGGAAGGTTAACCAATCAGAAGCCGCAGAAAATTGTATCCGTCGTGTATAAAGGCGGCCATTTTTGCTTACCTACCCGAATGACCAGTGCCAACTTGTCCGGCGAAGATGACAGAAGGAAGAACTACGCTTTCCTACTGTCTCCGAAATATTCACTGCTAACCTCTGGATTTTATATTCGAAGACGACCGTCATGAATTTGTAACAATTGTAACTATCTGTGAACCAATTCAAAGTTATTTCTATTTCCAGAAATTAATGTTGCTGCTCTTTTTCTTTTATGAGTTATGTCTCTTCAGGATGCTGGTGATCATGGCTCTCCCAAACATCTTTTCTTTTGTAGCACTTAGTAAATATAGAATTTTCCGTATCCCTTCGAATTCTCCGTTTGATTACAATGTCCTTTCAGTACATTGACCATCATGGCTCTCCACTATTTCTTTGGCTTTGTAGCTGTTAGTAAATGTAGTTTTTTTCTGTATCGCTCCGCATCCCTGTCAATCATTTACACAAGCTTGTTAGTCATAGACATTGGAACTATCGGTAAAAAATGTCAAAGATATTTCTATTTCCAGAAATTAATATTGGTGCTCTTGTTCGTTTGTGGGCCATGTTCCTTCAGGACGTTGGCGATCACGGCTCTCCTTGAATTCTTTTCCTTTGTAGCTCTAATGAAATGTAGTACTTTATCTCTCCAAATCCCTAAACTGCCAAGCATTTAAACAAACTCGTTAGCCCTAGACATTGTAACTATTTGTGAACCAATTCAAAGTTATTTCTATTTCCAGAAATTTATGTTGATGCTCTTTTTCTTTTATGTGCTATGTCTCTTCAGGATGCTGGTGAACATGGCTCTCCCGAACATCTTTTTTTTTGTAGCACTTAGTAAATGTAGAATTTTCTGTATCCCTCCGAATTCCCGAACTGCCAAACATTTACACATCTCGTTAGCTCTAGACTTTGTAAGTAGCGTTGAAACAAAGATATTTCTATTTCCAGAAATTAATGTTAATTCAAAATCAGTCTTATGAAGCTGTGAATTCAAAATCAGTCTGAAGACAATGTGAATTCAAAACCAGTCTGACGAAACTGTGATTGCAAACCACGTGTGAAGAAACTGAATTGACAACCAGCCTGAAAACACTGTAAATTCAAAACCAGTCAGAAGATTATAGTGATATGGAGTCGGTTCCACAAAGCAGTGCAAAGATGCTTTTCGAGTAGAACTCGAGTATCATACGAAGGATAGGTGTTTTGCTACTATGCGTGTAACATAGCGGTTCTTAGCTGTGAAAGTTAGAACTGCTGGAACTAAAGATTTTAGCTTGCCTAAGCGCTTTCCACTGTGTGAAAGGAGTTGTACATTTGTCACCCACAAGAGTGCGTAGAAGCTTTTGGACTATCGAGACTGGAAAGTGAAAACTGGACAGCTCCTGCTCATATATGGCAACAATAATCTTCTGTTTTACTTCCAGCTGGAGGAAGAAAGATTCATGCCTTTTCCAAGTACGTTTGTTCAATTCAATGGCAGCAAAACAGTCAGAATATGAAATTGGCAAACCGATTCCACTTTCCGTCCAAGTATCTGTTAGGTTAGCGACACACCCATCCGCTTTATATCAAACAAACAAGATTTCGTTTAGCTGAACACAAAGTAAGGGTGCAGTTTAGCATTATACTTCTTTTTCTTGCTTTCTTTTTAGAATGATGTTCACCCTGAACGAGGTCCGAGAATCACTCTAGGTAGACGTTTACAGGGTAAGTCACACAGTTTATGTGGATAAGTGCAGAAGATAATGGTTAATCTTAGGTTTGAATAGTATAAGATGGTACTGACCAGAGAAGCATCCACTTGGATGGTCAGTACCATCTTATACTATTCTCGGATATGTATATCACCAAAATTAACGATAAAAATAAACAAAAATAGATAAATAAATAAATAAATAAAAGACTTTCTTCAGAGACAAGTCATTCACGGAGATTTTTTTCTCTTGACGATGGCCGTGGAGCTTAAATGAAATAATAAAACAAAAATATTAATATACAACCCAGTGTGTCCGAAAATTTTAAATTTTTACTATTTTTTATTGTCCAAAACACACACACACACACACACACACACACACACATTTTGATCTCAGCTAGTGGAAACCGGACATCTAGTCTGATACAGCAAAACAATCTGTCTGTCGATGACATATATATATATATATATATATATATATATATATATATATATATATATATGCGTGTGTGTGTGTGTGAGTGTGTGTGTGTGTATGAAGGTATGTAGAAAAATAGGAAAGAGCACGTTAGGTAAATAATCCAGGGTTCTTTAGTATTTTTGTTTAAATTTTTCAAAAACAGTGCTCCATGCAGAAGTAGAACTTAGATTATAATTATTTTTTTAAAAAATATGATTACTTCGCTATATAAGAGTTCTCATGTTTCAAAAACGAGAGCCGAAACCATCAATATAATTATTAAAATTAAATTGAATTAAAGTAACAAGCTCTGTTTCATCCTCAAGCGAAAATTTAGGAATAACCAATTTTGAAATTTACAGATCGTTATAAGCGTGTTCGTTCGTTACGATGGAAACGGCTGGGGCGACCATTTTTAACCACATATCAGTCACCTTCAGGGAGAGGTCAAGCTGAGGTAGGGTGGGGTGTCTATTTCAAAGCGAATGATGTCTTTCTTGTACGCGCATTGTCTGTTCATTCACAGAGAACGATAGATTTTGGCACCATAGTATGTTATTAAGTGTCTGGATAATTTTGTTTATTTTATTTGTTTATTTATTTATTTATTTTCAACGGGCTGTTTCATATATAAATGCGTCGCACTGCACTACAATTTGTTTTTTGACTACTTCAGAAAGGTTTTTTCCCTTTAATGATTGGGTTAAGCTTTTTAGCGCTTTATTAAACTATGAAATTGGATTTTTTTATGCTAATTGTTTAATGCGAAATTTTGTTGATGTCGGCAAAAGGCCGTTAACTCATGTCTATGGTTTAATAAATTTTATTTAATGCGAAATTTTGTTGATGTCGGCAAAAAACCGTTAACTCATGTCTATAGTTTAATAAATTTTCATTATTTAGAGACTAAATTATGTGTAGTTTTTC